GGCTGGGCCCGCGGTGGGGGCCCCGCTTGGGTTGGGGGGGGGGGCGGGGGGGTCTCCTAGCTCCCAGGCTCCACTCACAGGTCCCACTCCTGTGCCTTTGTCCCCTAGGTTTTCCGAAGAGCAGACAAGAATGGTGAGTGTGGGGGGTCTTCCCCCTGGGTCCCACGGTAGTGGGTAGGGTGGGAGAGCTGGGGGTTTGGGGGTACAGTCTAGAGTGAAGTCTTAGGGGACCCAACATGGGAGATCAAGATCAAGCAAGACACCCTTCCTGGAGAGCAGATAGGGTATTTGGCAGAATAAGGAGCAGGGCAATGTGGTTCGGTGTGAGCCTGGAGGTGGGGCTTTACTTTCAGGCAGTACTTGGGCTCAACAATGGCTGCTTCTTGTACAAGACCTTGTGTTGTCCTTATAACCAGCTAGGTGGGAGTTCATCATCCTACAACACAGGCAAAGGAATAGAGGCTCAGAGAAGTAAATCAAGTTGTCTGAAGTCACTCAGCCTTTAATTTGTGGATTTGTAACCCAGATCTGTATCGTTCATGGTACTAGGCTCCTTGGAGAAGGTAGCAGGACAGTCAGCCAACCTCTGCTTTTCCTTTCCCTGGGTCTGTAGACCTTTTTGTGTTTTAGTCTTGACATATAGGATTGTGTCCTGAATCCTTTCTTGGGCCTCTTCAAAGTGGTGGGGGCCATCAATTAAGATACATGCTTTTGGTGCATTCTGCGGGGAGGCTCAGACCCCTCCATCATTCTGACGGAATCCCAGTGCCTTCTGGCCACCTTGCTCTTCATATGCCCCTTGTATGGGAAGCTCATTCTTACCCCAGCCAATCTGCTGCTTTGTACAGAGTACAGAAGGCATCATTTGCCTCTCTGGATTCTCTGGGAAGGTCCTGGGACCAGAGCATGGTGGTCCCCCCTACCCTGGGGCAAAGCTAGTGAGCTCATGGGGGCAGAAACTGGACCTCCAAGTCCTCCTAAGCCATTCTCTGACATGTCCCAGGCTCTTCTCTCATAAATTCATTTGGCAAGCATTTATTGAGTCCCTACCCAATGTGACATGCACTAAAGTGGGCCCTGTTCCCTATAGCACAAACCTTTGAGGAGTCTAGTCCTGTTTGTCCCCAACAGTCAGGACCCTTACTGATGTCAGAATCCTATAGAATCTGGCTGGGTGGTTGTGAATGCTGTCAGGCCTTTGGGAGGCCTGGACAGGATGCAGACAGGGCTTAAGAGTACAACTCTGCTGGGCGTGGTAGCGCACACCTTTAATCCCAGCACTTGGGAGGCAGAGGCAGGCGGAACTTCGTGAGTTCAAGGCCAGCCTGGTCTACATAGTGAGTTCAGGTCAACTGGGACTACAAGGAGACCCTGTCTCAAAAAGACAAAAA